CCAGCAAAAAAATATGGAAAAGCTAATAAAATGCATGTCTGCTTGAAAAATGCATGATTTGTTAGTCTCTACTTGCATTGTAAATACCTTGGTATGGGCAGGTCAAAATTTAAAAATGAGCATAATCAAAATATGCATATTTGCTGTAATGAAGCAGGATAAGACATCAGAGACATCAAATTATTGTTATCTCGTGCTTTCATGAGGCACCAAAATCTGACTGGAGGACGGTCACTGCAAGATTGAAACCTTGCAGTTGAGAGGTGAATGTTAATTTTTGGTGAAAACTGTTCCATAGCAATGCTGAGTAAAGCCAACAGTAAATTAGTTCATTAACTTCTTTTGGGAAAATGCCTGTAGTGTGTCTCTCCCTTGTGGGGAGACACTTCAAGCCACAGGAAGTTCAAGATGCCATTAATAAAGCAAAAACTTAGTTGAAATAATCAGATGTTACTGCCCCCTCACCTAAGTGATGATCCACCAAAGTGGATTTTTTAAAGATAAAACTATTTGGTATTTCAGTATCTTGAAGACAATCTGCTGATAAGTTTTCTTGAGTCTCCAGTGTACAGTTTATAGCCTTCAACTTGTTTCTTATTAATCTTCTTTTTTTTTTTTCATAATTAAAATAATATACTTTAAGAAATGTAGGGCTATTTTTTCAGAACTGCCAGACTGTCAGGAATCTGAAAAGGAAAATAAAACTTTGCTCAGGACTAACTCATTCATACTTGATTTGACCATACATGGCTTTCTCTGAAGATACAAATGGTGACTGAGCCTTTATTTGTTAATCTGAAATTCTTACACTCAAATAAAATATGATTTGTTCAAACACATTTATATGAATAAATCTGGCTTGATGAATCAGTTGCAAGTGCCATACTAAGGAAATGGAATCTCAAGAGACATAACAAATAATTAAGTCCTTGCAGGAAACTCATCTCTTTTCCCACTAACCCACAGGAGATTTACATGCAATGCTGGTATTGAAGCTACTTGTAATAAACATCAAGCACTTACAAGAACACAGAAAATTGGAATGCTGGTGGGGGGAGGGAAACCAAGCTGTATTTTCCAGCCATTAAGATATATGTCTTAATTTAACTCTGCAAATTTTTATGCTTATTATAAGTTTTGGGTTTGTGAAACGTGTACAAAGGATGGCTCCTGAGAACTGAGACTTTCAGTATTATCCTATTATTCTAGGAAATGTTCAACTGAAAAATGTCCCACTTTATTCCAAAAACAAAAAATTCTATGATAGCTGCTATTATGATTCCACATGAAATTAATTTGAGAAGCAGTTCTGATAAAGTTTGTTGGCTTAAATAGTTAAATGAATCTGGTTAATAGCTGTAACCAGGAACATTCCACCTGGCTCTGAAATGAGCTGCCAATGTTTCACCTCTTGTTGTTACATGTGACTATATTGACACGATGTTTTATAGATTTCTGCAAGGTAATTTCCCTCTGTGTGGGAAATTTGTAAATCACATTTCTGCAAAACTGATTGAAGGATCACATGTTCCTAACCAAGCAAAGCGAACAAACTCCAAATGAACACATGCACAGTCTCCTAAAGTAATGTATTACATTAGGGGACATGAAGTAATGTCTCTAAAAGAATTTTGATCCTAGAACATTGCAAATCTAATCTGAGGGCACTCTGGACTGGCTGGGGAATGTCAAGAGGAATGACAGTTTTAATGTCATAATCCATGTATAACATGTAATGTCATAATCCATAATCTAGTATGACACATAAATTCAAATATATTTAAATAAAAGTTTTTTAAACTTTAAATAGTGCTTTCAGTGTATATAGCAAAAACAACTAGAACACACTTAGCAGCAAAGCTGTTAGATCCACCTGAATCCTACAGATTCTCACCAAATTTTTTGTATTGTGCTCATATGAAGGAATATCTGTAACTCATGGACATCCCACTGTGCCAGCAATCCCAAGAATAACTCAGATAAATACCTGTGGATTTTCATGAGTTATGAGCCAACTACTTTAGCAACTGATGGAGCACAGTTTTCCTCACCATTACAAAATGAAGTAATTTCTAAAATCCTATGTATTTTTACAGCAAAAACAGTACCCTTCCAAAGAAAACCTATGTTTTGCCTTACTAAAGTGGTGATGAAGTACCAAAGTATGACCCTGAACAACAAAAGCTGTGCAAGCCTAGACCTGGCTTCTGAGGCCAAAGTAGTCTAAAACTCATGCTCCAGTGCCTCTCTTCTCCTGTGAAGAGATTTCTTGAAGAAGAAATGTGTGTGATTTTTGAGAGTGAGTGGTTTTTGCAGAGGTATTGGCAATAACAGATGTACACTGATTTTCAGGAAAGAGGTGATGGTGTTCTCCTGCAGCCTCTGAGGCTCTCCCAGCCCAGCCTGCCCAAATACCCCTTGGGTTTGCTGCATCATTGCTCCTCTGTATCTTCAAATCATGCTGAATCTTCACATGCCAAGCCTGTGCCATCTGAATGCCATGTTCTCTGGCTTTGCTTTCTTTCCAGGTGTTTTTTTTCCTGTCATGAAGCCTGGTTCAGCGTTCTGGAGTGCTTTCACATTAATGACACTGACACTGCTCAGGCTGTGTTAACCTGACTGCTTCATGGATATGACACAGAGGTTGTTCCTCAGCAGATCCTGGTACACAGCAGAATGAAACCTCCTCTTCCCACAGAAAAGATTAAAGGCACATTGTCATTATCTGTATGGATCTCTCACACCTACAGGACAAGATACTCTGTAAACTGAACTTTTCTCATCAGTTCTCTGGGAAAGAAAAACATAACAAACAAAGGCTTCATCCCCTTTGCACTTGAATTCACCACTTAGTTTGTCCCCTCTCTAAGTGACAAGTTCTTTAATTCTTAACTCTCAGCCCGTGGTCTGTAACTCATGCAGCATTGAGCAAAAGCTACCTGGCAGCTGTGAGAGTGCCCATCCTCCCTCTCCTCCATCAGACTGTGGGCATCCCCTGCATCCCACTGGGATGCACAAAAGCCTGAACAGTCTGGCTGCTGTTGGAGCTGTTTCAAAAGCTTTTTGAGTGAGCTGGCACATTTCTACTGCTCTGAGTGGAAGTTAATTACTTCCACTACCATGAGTTACAGGGCTCTGAAGAAACTGCCCAAAGTCAGTGTGCAAGGAGGATGGATGGATGGATGGATGGATGGATGGATGGATGGATGGATGCAGGACAGTGGCTGAATAAGGACCTTCAACCTTTCCTGGTGTGGTAAATGGTCAGAAATCTACAGTAAACTTTAAGTTGGTGAAGAATTGAATTTCCCTGGTTGAGGGAAACTTGAGCTGAGCCCCTTCCTTATCTTGCAAGAGCTTGATCAAAGGCTGAGGACTGCAGGCTATCTGGAACACAAGGCACAGAAGAGCACCTGCACATCTCTACCAGCCACTTCACTGTGTGTAACAAGCCTTGTTGTAAATCTGGTCCGATAAGGAGATTAGGATGGGCACAAAGGCTCTCTGTTGAAGGTCAAACAGCCTTTACTGCCACCTCAGCATGAGGAAGAGGGCCAAAGTGTTCATTCTACTTTTTGTTTCAAGTATAAATTCTGGCAGAAGGTAACCAAGACCCTCATTAAGCTCCATTTCCATATAAAGTTTTGAACCCCTAAGAATGGAAGTGAAAAATAAAAGGGACATGTAACACATGTGTGACCAAAGTTCCCAAAAACTCCAGCTGTCAGATGTGATTGTTCCACCCCACTGGCAAGAGTCAAAATTTATAGTATTATCATGGTTTTAAACCAGTAACTAAGAAAGTTACTTATTTCTTGCTGTGGGATATTGATTAGAACAAGAGCAAAACAGGCATAAAACTAAAAAGGAAAAAAAAAGAAAGTTTATTGACAAACTACAATAATAAGAACACCAGAATAAACTTCCAGAAAAACCTTTTCATCCCCTATCTACCCACTATTCCCTTGTTCACATGACAACAAGAGACAAAAACTTTAGAACTTTGATGGTTAAAACAGTCCCAATTCTTGCTACAGTCTTTTCACCAGTCTTTGTAGAGAAACAGAAGTTTCTTCCTGTTGATTTATGGAGTTTCTCACAAGAAAACTATTTTTGTTATAGTTTTCCATTGCCCTAATGTTAGCTGCTCAGAGCTGCTATTATTAGAGTTCACTCCTCCCATTTTCACATCACTCTGAAGTATGTACGGGCCATGAGTCTAGGGATAGCATTTTTAAGGATAAATTATTCAAAGGCAAAAAAAAGTCTTCTTCATCTGTTTCTGTGAGCTTCACCAGAAAACAGTTTTCTCATTGCCTCTCAGGGCTTCAAATCTCCCAGCACTTCACTATACCATAATTACTCTACTTTTTACTCAAATTTACACTTTGAAAACTTTATTCCTCCCTATATACTGTCATGAATTAAAGGAGTGTTTTCAAGACCTTAATGTCCATTTCCATAGTTTTAACAGAAAGATATTTCAGCTTAATTAAAGCATCTTCTTAATTCTCTACCTTTCCTGAAGCTTCTTTTCTTTCCTGTCACTGGTAGTTTATAAAGTCTCTTTTCATGTTGATCTCTCTCTCTCTCTCTCTCTGGATAAAAAGATTAATCCGCAAGTCTCATCTGGGTAATGAAAGAGTTAACATCTTGCCCAGGCTTTTGTAGATGGTTCGGGGATCTCTGCCGAACAGGAGCTGGAGCCGTCTGCGATGGAAAGTTCCTCATGGCTGCTCTAGAGCGTGTAGTCGCTGCTCCAACCCGCTGCAAGTCCAGGGCCTCTCTCTTTCTTCACTGGGCAGTTTCTAGTGAATTAGTTACAGCAAAACCTGCAGCCGAGCCAGAGATCGGCTCGGCCCGGGCCCGGGGAAAACCTTCCCCAGGCCCCCCCATCTCCCGGCCGGGAGACGGGGCAGGCCCGGCCCCATCCCCGCCCGGCCGCATGGCCTGGGCAGGGACGGGAGGCCTGGAGCTCCGCCACCCTCCACAGCCAGAAAACAAAGAGAGCCCAGAGACCTCTGCTTTTACACTTTAAGGTAGGGTTCACAAGTTGATCCCACTTTTCAATGGCCTAAACTGCTGTCAATTCCCAGCAATGACCGATAATTGGTCAGGAGAAAAGACTCCAGGCAGTTCCCAGCAACTCCAACTCCCTTAAAGGTAAAGTAACTCCATGACAAGTATAAAAGGGGGAATTTGGAGCAAAAAGGAGAGAGGGGGAAAACACCTCAGCTCAGAATCAGTTGACAGACGTGTCCCTCCTCCTCTCCTGAAGGGACACTGCTAGGTGAACTTTGCCCTTCCAACTGCATTGGAGCAGAGGTGGAAATATTCATTTTTATATTTATATTGTTAGTAGATCCCTGTTACTATACTTTCTGTGGCAATCTATAGTTAGTGCATGTGTCACGAGCAATTCTGAGCATGCTTTTCTGTTTCTTCAGTAATCTGTACTGTTTGTGAATCTGGATTGTGCAGGTCCTTACTGAGCATGGTTATGGTGCTGAGTTGGCTGAGATCAGAAATCACAGCTCACTGATCTCCAAAAACCAGCTGGAGCACAGGGGGATTTATGGTCTGATAGATTTCTGTACCCTGAACACAACAGGCTCTAATGCAGCACACCAGGTGCTACCTTGGGATCCTCGGTGAGGGATCCCCCTCAAGAGGGTGACAGATAGATGAGGGACAGGCACAGTTCTGTGACCCAAAAAGTAAAAATCTTTAATACCAAAACAACAAACACATAAGCTGAACAACAGTATAGGATGCACCAAAAGGCCGGGGTCCAGGGTAGAAAGTAACTTATGTAAGGGAGGCTGAGGGCGAAGGAACCAATAAGAGCTGGGGATCAGGAATATGTAAAATAATGCACCAAATTCTAATCATAGAACCATAGAACTTTCTAGCAACATTTACATACAAATATTCAGGGGTTCTCCATGATTAAGGGGATTTTCCCCACAGCCTTAAGTCAGAGTTTTCATCTACTCCAACACTGTAAGACACCCTCACCATCACATTGGTCCCCATGATTTCATGGCAAGCATGTTAGACCGTCTCACTAATTTAGCTGAAAAATAATTAAAATACTTTATATGCGTATTTATCTCCTTACCAGGTTAGTTTTCAGTCAGATTTGAGAGCTAAGGCATCTCACCAGAAGCTCAGATTAGTGATAATTCTAAAAGAGGCACTAAAAATAATACCTGTTAAGAACACGGGCACCACTTTCCATGCTCTTTCATCAGATCTTAAGCATCTTTGAAGACATCTCAACTTTGATGTCCTTTTTGTCTTTAGCCTCAATAGGTTTTGGAATTGGTATGGCACTAAATGTGCACAGATTAAGTGATAATTGCATCATTTACACAACTGTATTGTTGCTGGATGCTAAACTTCTTGTATATACAAGTGACTTGATTTGAAGGTCAAAAAGATCACAGGTGTAACTTAGAAATCACTGCAATTTCTGTGCTTAGAATGGGTGGGGGAAATGTATTTTCTACCAGTGGATTCACTAAGCTTTTATAAAACTAAATGGGTAGAAAAGAATTAAGTGTTGGGAATCTGAATGGGGGGAAAAAAGGCTACAGCTTTGTTCCTTTGCCTTGAGAATGCTTACTGTAGTACAAGAATTTTAGGTACTTGATTTATGCTTAAATCAGCTTTGATTTAAGTACAAAGATTTAAGTACAAAGGGATGTGTTCCAAAACGTCTGCAATAAAATATCCACTATTCATTTTGACCAAACAACAGAATAGTTCATGCAAAATAATTAATTAGGGCTTAGCATCCAGTCTTGTCTCATCCTGCCATGAAAGATAAGAGAGATTTCTACAAAAGTACATCTACCCATTGCCACTTTACTGTATTCTTACCAGTCAGGCTCCAGTCCATGATTTGAAAATGATGCTGCTTTAGTTTGTCATTCTAATCTCCTTTCACACAGGTGTGAACATTCTCTTTGGATAATTGAGCTCTATTTGTTTACCCTGTTGTTGATTTTCTTCTCAGATGCTGTTTGCCTACCTGCAAGATCTGGCAGAGGTTCAAGAAAAGGTTTTTTTGGAGTTTGCAGCCAGGAGGTGTTAAGGTGACCACCCTCTGGGTGTAGCAGATGTAAGCTTGTTCAAAATTAAACAAAAACTGCATTGGTAGACAAAATAAAACAGTGGTTTTTGCCACCGGTGAGGCCATCAGTATTCATTCTTTTAGGTTTTGATAATGAAGGTTTGGAAATGCTTGACAAATTCTTTTTGAAAGTGATTGCTATTTTTTTTCTTGATTCTTTCACTAGTTTTCTGCAGGCCATAATTTAGGAGAAATGGAATTAACACTGGTGCCAAAATGGCTACATGAAAGACAGCTGCCTTAGAAGCTACTCAATTTTGATTTATTTTCCAATTTCATGTAAGGAAATGAAAAATAAATTGAAATTAAGCAATTACAATAATAATTTTTCAATACTTCTATGTGATAAAACGCCATTTTAATACTGTGTTGACTCCTGCACAGGCATTCAAGAATTTAAAGAATTACAGAATCTAAAGATAAAGTTTTTTGTTCTTATGTCTAAATTACTAAAGGAACTAAACACCTTCTTTTTCTCTTTTGATGTTTTTTTGTTTCTTCTTGTTTATTTAACCTTAGAAGAAGTAAGACAATCTCTGGTAAAGTCTTCCTATTACTTTCCTGTGCACTGAATTTTAGGAGGCAAGTTATTTCTTCCATTTTTTCTCTTTTTTGCTATAAAGACTGCATGAAATAGCTAGTGCTGCTCAAATTATATAGCATGCATTCCAGAAAATGATGTGGTAATAAACAGAAGGAAAAACTTAGTGGCAAATTTATCACATTCTTCTGGCTGTTTTGGAAACATCAGTAACAACTTGGTTTAAAGTCTTGCTTAGATAGATGTAAAACATTATTCTCATACATATCCTACATATTAATTTCAATGTTTTTTCATTACTTTTTAGAGGGAGATGCTTCTTTCTGGTTTGAATTTCACACATATCTGGAACTGTACTTTATGTTTGCAAGTTCCACACCCCACATTATAAAAATTCACTGAAGAAATCATGATCTTGTTTCATTACATTGCTCCACAAAGTTCTGGGAACATTTGTTGTTACTGAATATGTGTGTACATGTGTCAATTAGAGAATTAATGATTGCTGTGATGGGAATGTTTAGAAGACAGATAAGCCAATTTTAAACTTTTAAGCAAAATTTTATTTGGCTCTCATTCTTTAACTACACACTTTATGCTAATGTTTAGTTCATATCCACCTCAGTCAAGCCACTTCCCTCTGGGTGTGACTTGTCCACCTAACAGCCCACCCATCAAATCCACCTCTCTGCAATTCAAAGGAAAGGATGTTGTGGGGGACAGAGTCAAATGCCTTACAGAAGTGAAAAGAGATGAATTCACGGTCCTTCCCCTGTCCACTGATGTGGCCAGCACAGGGATGTTTGTGGCTACAATACATCTCTGCCCAAGGTGTATTTTTCATGGATCTGGCCAGTGGAGGAGCAGGTTTGGAAAGTAGGAACTGGCCAGATACTGCATCTGTCTCCCAACAGCCCAAGTGCTGTTATTGAGCTGTTGTGACAGCAGGTGGGACAGCCTGTGACATCCACATGACCAAATAATTGTTTCTGCTACTACTGAGATGAAAAAATGCTTTCTAGTCTGGAAAACCAAAGTTAGAGGAAGCAAGATGAACAAGGCCAAATCAGTTTGAATGCAGCTTTTTCCTGGAAAAAAAATAATGAAAGATTGTTTCATCTTCTGCATACATTTTACCCATTTTTGTCTTACTTCCCTTTATAAATCAACAAAGACCATCATACAAATGCCAGAGTACCTGTTGATAACAGCATGGAACACTTACTCTGATAAAATTTTAAGGTCCTGTCATCTTGCTGTGTAGGAGCCTAGAATTTTAATCTGGGGAAGCCTGAGCTTTATTTTGATGTTTGTCTAGTGCCAAACACAAACTCTGCTTAATGACTAGGGATTTGTGCTGTAAATAAGATGAAAATAATAATTAATACAGTGTTCCAGTGTAAAATGAGAGTAGTTGCACTAAATTCAGGACGAATATGGGCTGAATGAGAAGATGTAATAAAATCTTTATGTTGAGATAAGTTAACAAAATCCCATCACACTTCAGCTACTCATTCTCCTTTGGACCATCCTTTAGTAGCATGTAAATAATATTTGTATTGTGTAGGTTTGGTGATGAAAAAGACTTGCTAACTTTTCACAAGAGATTGCTTTCCCCTTTAGTGGAAATGTATCCTATAGCTGAGATCATTCTGAAAGGTTTTAAATGAGTGCTTGTGTTAGAAAGAGATTCCTTTCTGTGGGTTTGGTTGTGCTGAAAGCATGTGGGTTGGATCTAGGGGTAAGGGACTGGAAAAGGCAGCTGGACTTTTTCTTCCACTTGAACAGACAAGAGGAAAAGGCATCAACTGTCAGACTCTGTCTGTCTGAATTTAAAGTTACTGAAATAGGAAAAGTATTAGAGTAAACAGAGTTTTTAATTGCATAAAGTCTGAAAACCTGACATTTATGGTATGCATCATTAAAAGTAAGAGATGATGCATCAGCTTCTGAAAAAAAAAATATTTTCTTGTCTTTGTTTGGCATTAGTCATAGCCATTTTTATTAATTCATGCATTAATGCTTAGCAGGTACAAAGTGTTTTCCCTAATAACAGATTTTTCGTAGGTGGCAAGTTCATCAGAATTTAGTTGGGGCACTTTAAATGATCTGACTGCAGAATATTTTTAGTATGTTCAATCAAAATCAGAGTTGTGTTTTGAAATGTTTTAATGTCCTGAAATCATATGACCTTAGATGTTAACCTTAGATGTTCTATAAACTATGTATTAAGGAAAGCAATTATAAGGTTTATTTTGTTGCAATTGTTCAAATTCTTTATATTTCTGAAATGTCATATTGAGGCAAGTTCTTTGAAGTTAATTCATGCAATAAATAAGGTTTGATTGTGCTAATCCTCATTTTAAAGTCTTTAACAAGAATACTTCAAGCACAGGCAATGAAAGGCAAATATATTTGAAATGGATGTTGGCTGTTTACTGTCTTCTCTCTCCTACACCAAGGTGCACACACAAATCACAACCCCAAAAAGAGTGTTTTGATTTAGAGATCACCTAATGGCTTTGTTATAAAAAACAAAAGAGGTTGTGGTATATATATATATATATATATAAAAATTTTTTATATTTTTACTTTTATATTTGAGCTGAAGATTTTGTTACCACAGCATCACCTGAGGAGAAAACCTCCCTCTGGATACCCCAGTGCTGCTACCAAAGGCATGAAACCCAGTGCTGCTCCTCACCATCTTACTCACCTCCTGCTACTTAGTGTGACATATTTAAATGGTGTTATTTTAAAGGAATTATCTGTAAAACACAGGGATTTCTGGTATTGTTTCAGTTGTCCTAAATTCTCAGCTTTTGGATTACTCATGGTTCCAGTTATTCATGCCATTGAACAAGTGGTTATATTAATACAGACAAAATCATCTGAGATTTACATAAATTATTTTCAAAGAGTAGGGACAGTTTAAATGAATCTTATGTAAATTAAAAATAAAACAAATATTCCAGGAAAGACCAAACACTTAGCAGCTAACTGGACTTTCTAGGGTAGAACATAAGACTGCCTCTTGGAAAAAGTTCCATATTTAATAGCTTAAGGATTTTTATAAGCATTAAGAAACTGTCCTTCACTTTTTAAAAAAAAAAATTAAAGCCTTTAGACAACAAAGTGAATCAGGGATGTCAAAAGCAAAGCAGCAGTGGTGTTCCATTTGCTGCCTTTGATATTCAAGGTCTGTAAATCTTCTGTGGGCTGACTGATGTGAAGGGCAGCTCCCCAAGGACCCGTTAGCAGCTGATGATAAAAGCCACCAGGACATCCTTTGGTATCTCTGTCTGTTCTCCTTGGAAAATGTGGGGAGAGTGTTTTCAGCCTTGATAATCCCCCTGCTGATTACCAGAGTGCTGTTATTTATGGTGGCTGTTCTGGTTCATAATTGGCCATATCCAGCCCATAATTGGTCACTGTGCCCCTGTAGTGCCACAATCAGCCACATTCTGCTCCATCTCAGGACCTCCTTGAGACCATCAGCATTTGCTCTCTTTTATGGAATCAGGGCTAAGCTCTGCTTTGCTGACCATGTGTTTTCCTCCCTCACCAACCATGAGGGATTGATCTGGAAGGAACATAATTCAGATGAATAAACACAAGAAAACTGTATTTCTGTTAAACAGGATTTCATTGCAGTCTGCCCACTTGCAAAGCTGTCTAAAAAACTTTAATCAGTGGACATTATTTTCACTTCTGACCTGGATGACCAGGCTGTCTGCTAATGGGAACTTCACCAGAAAAACTGAAAAGACCCCTTTTTCAGAAATAAAAGACATCTCTTTCCAGATTTCAGAAAGAGCTTGACAAATGCAACAAAGTCATACAAGCAAAAATAAAAACTTAAAAGAGTCAAAGGAGTTCTTTAGGAAAAAAAACAGCTGCTAATAAGAAAATAATCCATACAAATAGAAGTATCAAATTATTTTCTTCCAAACACGATATGATTTTATCAACTGGGATTCTCCTGAGTTTTCACTTTAAAAATTTCCATAATATTGGAAGGTGAAATTAAAATTTGTTATTACAGATAAACTTAACTTCTGTCAAAAATAGTACTGGAGGAAGCCCTGCATGTGAAAACTAAGATCCTCTGACATTTCTGCTGTTCAGATCTTTCTGACACCATTTATCTGAAAAGCTGGCAAAGTTCCTCCATTTTGAAATTCATAGGAATGTTGTGTACTTTTAAATAGAGTTTAAGACCTCTAAATATTTTCTACTTAGTCTAAAATAAAAATAACACCATCTGCAGCCTTATTAGAGGCAATTCTTTTACCCCTCTAACAAGAATCAGAGCAGGAAAGAAATACAAGGTTTTACAAGTTTCCTCCTTCTCTGTTTACTGCTCCATTATATCAACATTCTTGAAACAACTTCAGTGCAGTTAATTTGTTCATTGAGGTTGATGAATGGCACGGATTTTCCTGTGTCCTTTTAGGGGTATAACATTTCAGGAACAGTCATTCTGCTGCTCTGCCTCCTCCACTTCCATCTTC